AAAGAGAGGAGAGTGAGAAAAAGGAAAAAAAGGTGCTCACAAAGATCAAAATGGTGCGTGTGGCTCTGGCCTCTTGAGAAGCTCTGAGGAGATTCTGTTGCTGTGAATGTGTTGGACTCGCTGCTTGTGTCTGTGCAGGAAAAGGACCATGGAGCCACTGACCCAGATCATGAGGCCCAAACTCATAAAGTCAGTTGCAGAGAATATGAATACGTATTGACTAGAAACTTTATACATCTAGCTGGTTTGAGCAAAGAACAGTATACACAATTTATTTTCACACTTACATTTTTGTTGTTTATTTGACTAGTCACACTCATAGGAACAAAGATATTCGCCAACAGTTGCAGGATCTAGCAGAGAAAACAACAGAAGCCAATGAACTTTAGGGATCCCATTCTGAGCTCCAACCACCTAGAGAAGCAGGGACAAAGTTTTATGGCCTGGAAGCCACTGAGGAGACAGGCGGTGCTGAGGGAAACCCTTCTGGCCACTCTGTGAAAATAGAAGAGAAGTTTGCATCCAGCCTTATCCAGGAAATAGTTCAATCCAAAAGCTGCTATTGTATGAGGGATCCCTCTAGAGAAAAGCACAAACAAATTGGCAAAGGCCTGCTGGTTGAGAATAAGATCCGTGGGTCTAATCTTGTGTCCAGTAAGCAAGGTGAAGTTACAAAGACAAAGAAAGAAGGAGTTTCCAAGGATTTCCACTCCCATCTGAGTGAGAAAGGTAAGCCCCATTTGCAGATTGGCAGGAGCCATCACATTAATATCTATAAGACTTGATTTTAATTGGTACCAGAACAATGAGGAGTTCAACAAGCAAAAAGAAATACATTGGCCAGGCATGATGGCTCATGCCTGTAATCCTAGCACATTGGGAGGCTGAGGCAGGAGGATTGCTTGACACCAGGTGTTCGAGACCAGCTTGGGCGATATAGCAAGACCCCATATCTAAAAAAACAAATAGCTGGGCATAGTGACATTGAGGCCAACGAGCTAGGATCACACCACTGCACTCCAGCCTGGGTAACAAGGCAAGACCTTGTCTCTTTTTTTTAAAAAGAAAGAAAAAAAAAAGAAATTGTCATACCATGCCCAATAACCTCCAGTACTAAACCTAACATGTATTTTTCTAGTTTAAGTGGGCCTTAAATATGTGTGCTTACGGGTGCAGAAGTTGTCTCTCCTTTAGTTATAAAAATATCTCTATCAAGTGGTTGCTCCACAGCCTGCTTGATTTCCTTTCCCAAAAAAAAAGGCTTTTTCTTTCTGTGCCACATATCAAGGCTGCAGATTTTCTTTTTCTTTTTTTTTTTTTTTTGAGATGGAGTCTTGCTCTGTCGCCCAGGCTGGAGTGCCGTGGCGCAATCTCGGCTCACTGCAAGCTCCGCCTCCCAGGTTCACGCCATTCTCCTGCCTCAGCCTCCCGAGTAGCTGGGACTACAGGCGGCCACCGCGCCTGGCTAATTTTTTGTATTTTTAGTAGAGACGGGGTTTCACTGTGTTAGCCAGGGTAGTCTCGATCACCTGACCTCGTGATCTGCCTGCCTCGGCCTTCCAAAGTGCTGGGATTACAGGCATGAGCCACCGCAACTGGCCATGGCTGCAAATTTTCTAATTTTTTTTCTCTGCTTCTCTGTTAAATATAAATTATATCTTTTGGTAATTTATTTGCTCTAGCATCTAGCACAGGCTTTTAGGAGTAGCCAGGCCACATCCTGAAAGCTTTGCTGCTTAGAAATTTCTTCCACCAGCTATCCTTGGTCATTACTCTAAAGTCCAAACTTCCATAGATCTTTAGGGCATAGGCACAATGCAGCCAAGTTCTTGGCTAAGCCATAACACGTCTGACCTTTGCTCCAGTTCCCAATGCGTTTCTCATTTCCATCTGAGACATCATCGTTCTGAACTTCCCTGTCCACATCACTATCAGAATTTTGGTCACAACCATTTAACCAGTGTCTAAAAAGTTCCAAACTTTCCCTCAACTTCCTGTCTTCTTTTGAACCCTCCAAACTCATTCAACCTCTCTGCTCATTACCCAGTTCCAAAGTTGCTTCCACATTTTCAGGTATCTTTATAGCAATGCCCCACTCCTCTGTACCAATTTTCTATGTTAAGCCATTCTTGCATTGCTATGAAGAAGTACCTGAGACTGTACTTAGAAAAATTAGAAAATTTGCAGCCATGGAGGCTGGGAAGGGTAGCAGAAATGGAAGGGAAAGTGGGGATAGTTAATGGATGAAAAAATATAGTCAGATAGAAGGAATAAGATGTAGTATTTGAAAGCACAACAGGGTGACTACAGTCAACAATAATCTATTGTAGAATTAAACATAATTAAGAGTATAACTAGAATGCTTATAACACACAAAAAAGATAAATGCTTAAGGTGATGGATACCATTTATCCCAATGTGATTATTACAGACTGTATGCCTGTATCAAACTATGCCATGTAACTCATAAATATATACACCTACTCTGTACCCCTAAGGACTAAAGATAAGAAATAAAAAAAAATAAAGACAGGATGGAGCTAAACCTGGGCCCTCTGGTATGTTCTACCTGCAGGTGGAGCTGGCCTCTGCTGTCTTCAGTCCCTTGCTAGATGTCATGGTCATTGAGGTTAACACTCCCCCATACCATTTGGTACCTGTGGAGTCCCTTGGGATTAACTGGGTGAACAGCAATAGAAGTTAGTAGACTTTATGAATGACACTGCCAAGCTGTACTTGAATAGCTGTGCCAAGGAGACACACACAGAAAGAAAACACAAAACAACCCATGCACATCCTAAGGGCTTCACACTTTCTTGCACTCTATCTTCAATGTTTTTTAGCTTTCTCAGATAAATTTAACAAAGAGATTGAAATAATTAAAAGGATTTTCAAGGCTGGGTGCGGTGGCTCATGCCTGTAATCCCAGCACTTTGGGAGGCCGAGGCGGGCGGATCACAAGGTCAGGAGATCGAGACCATCCTGGCTAACACAGTGAAACCCCGTCTCCACTAAAAACACAAAAAATTAGCCAGGCTCGGTGGCGGGCGCCTGTAGTCCCAGCTACTCAGGAGGCTGAGGCAGGAGAATGGCCCTGTGAACCGGGGAGGCGGAGCTTGCAGTGAGCCGAGATCGCCCCACTGCACTCCAGCCAGGGGGACAGAGCGAGACTCTGTCTCAAAAAAAAAAAAAAAAAAAAGAAAAGAAAAGAAAAGCAAACCTTTATTGCAAATCCACAAACAAGAAGACAGGAGTCCAGGTCAAATGCGTCTCCCCAGTATGGGGTTTGGGACAGCTTTTAAGGATTAGGAAGGACAGGTTGGTAAGCACTGGAAGGGTGGATTTTGATTGGAAGGACTTCAAACAAATCTATTGATGGCAAGGTGGGGACAGGGGTGTTATCACCCAAGATTCAGAGACAACAGACCCCTTGCTTTCAGAACTGTTTCAACACTTGGGTTCTGGCCATAACCTGGGATTTTGGTTTGCTGGTGGTGGCAGGGTGGAGTCTGGTAGGTGAGACTTCAGTTCCAGGTGTTGGGTCAATGTTTTCTTTTCTTTTCATTTTTATTTATTTATTTACTTATTTATCGAGACAGGGTCTGGCTCTGTTGCCCAGGCTGGAGTGCAGTGGCATAATCATAACTCACTGTAACCACGATCTCCCGGGCTCAAGCGATCCTCCCACCTCAGCATTCTGAGTAGCTAGGATTACAGGTGCACCACCACACCCGGGTAATTTTTTATTTTTCGTAGAGACGGGGTCTGGCTATGTTGCCCAAGTGATCCTTCCACCTCAGCATCCCAGTGTGCTTGGATTACAGGAATGAAACACCGCGCCGGGCCTGACATTTTTCTTTTCTGCACATTCTCTAGCTGTGTAACTTGCAACTCCTCAGCTCTGTGCCTGCAAAATAACTAGATATTCTGTTACCAACAGAGGATGGCCAGATGAGACTGGTCCAGCGGTTATACCTGCACGTTCGTGGAGGCCACTAAAAGTATCCCTATAGGCCGAGTCAGCTGCTGTAAGGCAAAGCATAGATTTCCCCTTGGGGACTAAATCCCATTCTTGAGCTCCAGAGGCCTTGTTCCTACCACTGTACGCCACCGCGTGGGGTGCCCTGGGAACCCGCCTACCTCCCTACTGCCCTGAGGGCGGACGGAGATGGTCCTAGCAGGTGTGGGAGATGAGGTAGGCGATGTCTTCAGTGGGGTCCAAGGCTCATCTGGACCCAGTTCTCAGCCAAGGGGCGGTGAAGGGGGGTCAGAAAACGCAGGAGCGGCTCCCAGACCCAGGAGGGGACTCAGGGAAGCAGAGGCACTTTCCTCGGCCGCTCCGGGGCCTCCCCAGCTTGCCCTCCCCAAGAGAAGTCCCCGGGGTAGAGCTGCCCAGGACCCCCTCCCATGGGACGTCTCGGCCCCGCCACCCTCATCTAGGGACAGTCAAGGGACTCAGAGCAGGAGTAGCGCGTGCGCGGCCCCCACGTGGCCTCCCAGAACACCTGCCCACAGCGGGACAGCGCGACACCTAGATCGCTCCTGTCTTCCACAGAACATCTTCGGCCCCGGCACGGCCTCCAACGCCTTGACCCCGCAGGGGAGGGGGACGAAGCTCCTTCGCTCCCGCAGGAGCGTCGAACACCTGTGGATCCGGCCTCAGCTTCCCGAGCCTGAATCAATGCCTCTAACCACGTGGGCGCTCAGCCGCGACGGGACCACAGAAATGCACCAGCGGCCCGTTTAAGGAGCGACAAGGCCCAGCCCTCTCCTGGACTGTGGCGACGCCAGCTCCCCGCGCCCCCAGCGCGGCCGCTTGGCTTTTGTTTGAGGTGACTCTGGGCCGCAGCATCCTTCCCTGAGCCCTGGGTACCGGCGGGACTACATTACCCAGAAGGTTTTGTCTCCAGCCGCAGAGATGCTGAGCCAATCCGCGCTGAGAAAAGGGTCGTTTCCGCTTTGGGACCAATAGGTCGGGGAGGTACTTCCTGTATCACTTCAGTGGCGGTCATTTTTGCAGCGCTTGGGTGCATCCAGACCGTCAGAGCTTTGGGAGCGCTTTGTTTGGCGAGAGAGTCGGAAGGCGCGAGGGGAGGGGTCCTCCCGCTGAACAGTCGGGGGTCTAAGGGTCGGCGGCGGCGGGGTTGACGGCTTTGCCTAGGTCCCCGGGCCCGTCGCTGTCGGGTCCCAGCCCCGCTCTGCCCAGACTCCGATGGCTGCGGCTGCGCTGAGGGCCCCGACTCAGGTGAGCGCTGCGTCCACTAGACCTCACCCTCCTTCATCCTCACTCAAATTCTAAAGCCCAGTAAGGGGTGCCTTCTTGGGTCGCTAGGGTCGAGATCCTCATGTCCAGTACAGTGGGGGCTCGTGGGTGGAGTCCCTATTTCCAGAACTTGGGTGATGAGGCATGGAAGAAGGTGACAGGCAAAGGGACCGGCGTTTCTAAACTATTGGAGATGGAGTGAAGAAGGTTCATACCTGGAGTGCCAAGGTGAGGAGTTTTCCCTCAATTCTTAGGATGCTAGGAGCTGTGGAGGGTTGTGTACAGAAGCGGGGTATGGTCTGAGTTAGGTCTTTCTAAGGTTTCCAAAAACCTCATGGAGTTAGACTAGAACAGAATGGAATAACACAGAATCACAGGGAGATTGAGTTCTTGTGCAAGGTCCCACAGTTGCTGAGAGTTAGCACTGAGGACTGGAAAGCTGAGGCTCAGAAATAATGCAGACATCATCAGTCCATCTGGCTCTGGCCTGGTCAGGAATCCAGGGAAGCCTGAATCAGTAGATCCCTGTATGGTCACCTGCCTTTCATGATCTTTGGCTTTCCACAGGTGACTGTGTCTCCAGAAACACATATGGACCTCACAAAGGTGAGTGGAGGGTGTCCCAGGCCCTCACTGGTCCTGGCCCCATCCTGGGGTTTTTTCATGTATCTTTTTTGCCACCATCCAGTTCTTTGACTTAAGGACTCTTCACAAACCCCAAGCTTGACATCCTGATTCTAGACTGGTGGTTATTTGTAGAAGTTCTTATTGCTGGCAGACAATGGAATGAGGTGTGAAAGGTTGTCCCGCCTAGGTACAATAATGTGTAAAGTTGGCAGTGAAGCTGAGCTGGTTCAGGGGAACCCAACTCTCCTTTCTTTCTCATGGGAACTCAGAGCAGCAGGGCAGGACTCAGGTCTGGAATGGCTCTGAGAAATTGGGTGTTTTTTTCTGGAGGTGATGGGAACAATGGGAGGTTTAGAGAAGAGGAGGGAGGTTATCTGACACTGGTCTTCTCAGGTTCACTGTTAATGCAGCGTAGAGAATACTCTGTGGGTGTAATGGAGGCAATGGAGGCAACCTGGGAGGAGGCTACTGCAGTGGCCAAGGTGAGTTTTGATAGTGGCTTCACCAATATGGTGGCTGTGAAGGTAGAAGAAGTGGCTGGATTCTGGGTCAGATTTTTAATTAGGCCTGCTTTCATTTTCAGATTTTGAGGGTAAGAGATAGTAGTCAAGCATTACTCCAGGCATTTTGAGTTTAGCATCTGGGAGGATGGAAGCTCCATCAAATAGCATGTAATAGGATTGATTTTATTTTTATTTTATTTTTTTTTAGACAGAGTCTCACTTTGTCACTCAGATCGAGCAGTGGCTCCATCTCAGCTCATTACAACCTCCACCTCCCAGGTTCAAGCGATCCTCCTGCATCAGCCTCCTGAGTGGTTGGGACTATAGACACATAGTACCATGACCTTTTTTTGTCTTTTTTTTTTTTAGTAGAGACAGGGTTTCACCATGTCGCCCAGGCTGGTCTCGAACTCCTGACCTCAGGTGATCCACTCGTCTTGGCCTCCCAAAGTGCTGGGATTACAGGCGTGAGCCACCATGCCCAGCCAATTAATTTTCGTTAAGGATAACAGGAGTTCTGTCTTTAGCTATTATCATAGTCTGAGATGTTCCAAAGAATGATATATGGAGACATCAAGTGAGTAGCTGTCGATGTACATCTAGAATTCTAGAAGCGGTTTAAGACAGAGAAATCCAAAAAGTGGTGGCCAGCGTTTGGCCCAGAGTAGCTGTGGGTCACAGTTAGAAGTGGGTAATCCTGGTCATGAAGGTAATGCTATTAATAACCCAGGAAAGGTCTGGGCATGGTGGCTCACACCTGTAATTTCAGCACTTTGGGAGGCCAAGGCAGGCGAATCACTTGAGGTCAGGAGTTCTAGACCAGCTTGGCCAACATGGTGAAACTCTGTCTCCACTAAAAATAAAAAAATTTGCCAGGCATGGTGGCGGGCACCTGTAATCCCAGCCACTACAGAGGCTGAGGCAGAATTGCTTGAGCCTGGGAGATGGAGGTTGCAGTGAGCCAAGATCACACCACTGCACTCCAGCCTGGGTGACAGAGTGAGACTCCATCACACACACAAAATAACAAACAAACAAAAAACAGAAAAGGAAAGGTCAGGGCTATGACTGTGTCTCGTGCTTGGACACGTGGTAGAGGTGGTGAACATCACAAACAGTTGTGGAAGAAAAGTGGTCATGGGAAGACTGTAGGAAAGAGGATGATCTGGTATATTAGTCTGTTTTCACGCTGCTGATAAAGACAAGTCTCTAGGAAGTTCCAGACTTTCCCACATTTTCCTGTCTTCTTCTCAGCCCTCCAAACTGTTCCAGCCTCTGCCTGTTACCCAGTTCCAAAATCGCTTCCACATTTTCAGTTATCTTTACAGCAGAGCCCCACTTTACTCATACCGATTTACTATATTAGTCCATTTTCATGCTGCTGATAAAGATGTGCTCGAGACTAGGTAATTTGTAAGGAACAAGAGGTTTAATGGACTCATGATTCCACGTGGCTGGGAAGGCCTCGAAATCATGGTGGAGGGCGAAAGGCTTGTCTTGCATGGCAGCAGACGAGAGAATTTGTTCAGGGGAACTCCCCCCTTATAAAACCATCAAATCTTGTGAGACTTATTTACTATCATGAGAGCAGTATGGGAAAGACCTGCCCCCATGATTTGATTACCTCCCACCAGGTCCCTCCCATGACGTGGGAATTGTGGGAGCTACAATTCAAGATGAGATTTGGGTGGGGACACAGCCAAATCATATCATCTGGTAAGTGGTCAAGGCTTCCAAGGCATTGAGGACATAAGACAGACATGGAGACAAAGAAATAATTGGTAGAAGATGACACTGAGGCCAGGTACAGTGGACTGTGTCCCTGCAAAATTCATATGCTTAAATGCTAATTCCAGTGTGATGGTATTTGGAGGTTGGGCCTCTGGGAGATAATTAGGTCATGAGGGTGAAGCCCTAATGAATGGGATTAGTGAGTGCTCTTAAACAAAGAGGCCAGAGAGCTACTACCTAGTGCTCTTTCCACCAAGTGAGGATATAAGAAGTCAGCAGTCTACAACCTGGAAAGAGCCCCCACCAGAACCTGGCCATGCTGGCACTCTGATCTCAGGCTTCCTGCCTGCAGATTTCTGAGAAAGAAATTTCTGTTGTTGATAAGCCACCCAGTTTGTGGTATTATGCTAGCAGCCCAAACTGACGAAAACACTAGGACTAGTGCTTATTCACCATGGTAAAACCTCACCAGGAATTTGTTGTGACCCTTGATGTGTCTGGGGAAGGTGTCAGTCAAGCAGTTGAATAAGTTTAGTAGTACAAGTGTTCATCTGTATGAGTCATTAGGTTGGAGGTAGAGAGCCACTGAGAGTCTGTGCCACCGAGGGCACTGATTTTGAAAGAGGGTTAAGAGGTGAGAGGAAAGTTGTTGACTGAAGAGGGGACATCAAGTGCAGCACAAGTGGAGGACGGTCATCAGTGTCTGACATCAGTGATTCTTGGTGGATAAGGTTGAAGCGAGGAACAGAGTCAGGAAGATAGCCCTTCAGAGCAGGATGGGGGCTGTCTATGACAGTAGGAACCATCAGAGGTCTGTGTAGCTCTGAATGCTGTCTCAATTTGGTGGGCAGAAGGGTTGAGGTGGCTATGGGAGTGAGACTGAGCGAGAATGGTTCAAAGAATGATGTGCACATGGAGAGGGAGTGTGAACTGAAGGACCCAGGCCCCTGGCATTGAGGACTTAAGGGTGAAAGGTGAACCCACATTTGATTGTGTCTAGGAGGCACTATCTGAAAGATTCTTGGGGAACTGCCTGACAAGAAGGGATACACCCCTACATACTGGGCCCAAAGTTTCGATGTGGTGCATCCTGCCCACCTCCTGGTTGGTACTGTAGAAGGATACAGTGATCACTGGACCATGAAGAGAGAGTGGGCATCTGTGTCACCAGCGTGTGTATTTTCTTAAGGTGGGGATGAATGAGTGGGTGGATGAACTTGATGTGGAGGCGTTGATTGTGGAGTGACCTGTCCCCATCACGACAGGGCTGTGTGACCTTTGAGGACATCGCCATTTACTTCTCACAGGAAGAGTGGGGACTTCTTGATGAGGCTCAGAGACGCCTGTACCTTGAAGTGATGCTGGAGAACTTTGCCCTTGTAGCCTCACTGGGTAAGGCCCTAACACCAACTCCAGTGTCTTGGTCTGTCTATGCTCTTTTGCTGACTTCCCCACTCTCTTGGGATATGTGCTATGGGAGCCAGCACTGTACACTGCCTGAGCAGCCCTAACACCTGCTGCCCAGTGGTCTGGGAAGTGGGTGTTCTTCAGTCAGCCAAATGGATCTCTCTTGCTTGCTCTCTTGACTGGGTGTCTGTGTTCAGATCCATGACACCTTGTGTGCCAAGTTGCCTGCACCCCCATCTGCTAGCTAACATTTTCTTGTGGCTACCTGTGTCATGACTGTAGTCATTGTCATGGTCTATACTTGTGGGGACAGCGGGCTCTTCTTACTCACTCCTTCTAGTTTGTTTGTTTAATGATATTAACTTTCTTTCCCATGGGCTGTTGTGTGCTGAGTCGTTCTGCATCAGTGCTGATCACTCACATGTTCTGTCTTTCTGGTAGGACTTGGCTTCATGAAGGTCCCACACAGCTAGACAACTTAGGGTGTGCGGAGAAACCTGGTTGCTTTATAGGGTGAACATGGTCTCAGAGAAGGCCTGGGCTTGTTGACTGGCAGCTAGTTGGGGGCATGATATTCAGGCTGTTTTCAGGTCACATAAGGAGCCTGTCCTGTCTTCACCACTGTTTGGGTGCACATGCCACTGACCAAACCTCATTTCTATATTTTCTTCCCTGTACTTGATACTTTTCTGTCTTATTATTTTTATCTATGACTTCTAGCACCTGGCTACCTCCACCTTTCTGATCTTCATGCATCATCTGCTCCTCTGCACTGCTCCCTCTGCAATGTTTTCCAACATTGACATAAACATAATGGCTCATGAAGTATGTATATATGATTACATGAAGATATGTGATCATATGACTTGCTACTCAGCTTCAGTTGTATTTTCCTGGGCTTGGGCACAGTCAAGCTTCCACACAGCATGCAGGTGTCACCAGCAGACAAGGTCCTCCTGAACACTATGTGGTGAGTTTTAGGAATTGGAAGGCTACTCAAGGATAACTTCTGAGGCTGTCGGTAGAGGAATGGTTTGAAGACAATGCCATTCCCTGTCCTCCATCCCATCCTTGTGTACTTTATTTGGTGAGGCCTCCCTCATTCTGTGATCTTTAGAGATCCAGTATTGCAAAGCAACCCCTTCCTCAACCTGCCCTCAGCTCCATTATCCTCAAAACAAACCTGGTGAATCATTCCTTTGGTATGTGTGTAACGGGGCTTCCTGCTCTCAGCACAGTGAATGTACATTTCATCAGCAGTTCTCTGCCTTCAGGTTGTGGCCATGGAACAGAGGACGAAGAGACACCTTCTGAGCAGAATGTTTCTGGAAGAGTGTCACAGTCAACGGCAGGTTCATCCACACAGAAGACTCAATCCTGTGAGATGTGTGTCCCAGTCCTGAAAGGTATTTTGCGTCTGGCTGATCTCCCTGGGCAGAAACCATACTTGGCTGGAGAATGTACAAACCATCACCAGCAGCAGAAGCATCACAGTGCAAAGAAATCCTTGAAGAGGGACATGGACAGAGCCTCATATGTGAAGCGCTGCCTATTCCGTATGTCATTGAAGCCCTTTCGCAAATGGGAGGTTGGAAAGGACCTCCCAGCCATGTTGGGGCTTCTGAGGTCCCTGGTCTTTCCTGGAGGCAAGAAACCCAACACAGTTACTGAATGTGGGGAGGACGTTTGCAGTCAAAAAAGTCATTACAAATCAGGTGAATGTGGGAAGGCTTCCAGGCACAAACACACTCCTGTTCATCCAAGAGTCTACACTGGAAAAAAGCTTTATGAGTGTAGCAAATGTGGGAAAGCCTTCCGGGGCAAGTACTCACTTGTTCAGCACCAGAGAGTCCATACTGGAGAAAGGCCTTGGGAGTGCAGTGAATGTGGAAAATTCTTTAGCCAGACTTCCCACCTGAATGACCATCGGAGAATCCATACTGGAGAAAGGCCTTATGAGTGCAGCGAATGTGGAAAATTATTTAGACAAAACTCCAGCCTTGTTGACCACCAGAAAATACACACTGGAGCAAGGCCTTATGAGTGCAGCCAGTGTGGGAAATCCTTTAGCCAAAAAGCCACCCTTGTTAAACACCAAAGAGTTCACACTGGAGAAAGGCCTTATAAGTGTGGTGAATGTGGGAATTCCTTTAGTCAAAGTGCCATTCTTAATCAACACCGAAGAATTCACACTGGAGCAAAGCCTTATGAGTGTGGCCAGTGTGGGAAATCCTTTAGTCAAAAAGCTACCCTCATTAAACACCAGAGAGTTCACACTGGAGAAAGGCCTTATAAATGTGGAGAATGTGGGAAATCCTTTAGTCAAAGCTCCATCCTTATTCAACACCGGAGAATTCATACTGGAGCAAGGCCTTATGAGTGTGGCCAGTGTGGAAAGTCCTTTAGCCAAAAGTCAGGCCTCATTCAACACCAAGTGGTTCACACTGGAGAAAGGCCTTATGAGTGCGACAAATGTGGGAATTCCTTTAGCCAATGCTCCAGCCTCATACATCACCAAAAATGCCATAACACATAGAGGCCTCATGAATGCAGCAAATGTGGAAGCGCCTTCAACTCAAGATCTATCATCATTTAGCTCCTGAAAGTCCACACTTAAGTAGAGCCTTAGACCTACAGGGAATGTGCTGTCTCTGTAGTACTGTAGCAGTAGAGGGCCTTTGTGAGGGAGCCATCTGCCTAAAGTTGAACCTCATTCTTCCTTGTTTCTCTGGTAGAAACCATCTACCCTCTGCCACCTTGCACAGTGGGCATCGGTCACACTGATGTGCTAAGGCAAGGCAGGCATTTGTGTGTTCTCTTAGTCTTTGGAGGAAATCTTGAGCAATCTAAGCCTTTAGAGAAAATTCATTCTTTTTTCTGACTGATCACAGCATACATGTGACCCAGTTTTGATCAGGAGGGCCCAGCCTTGGTTCTGCTGGACGCTTATGTGCAAGGATTCCCTTTATGTAAATTCTTGGTCTCACATGACACCTGGTCGTTATTCTAGCCTCCAAGTCACCTGGTGAATGGCTGCCTCACATTGCTCCAGTTTGTGCACTAATAAAAGCCTTATATTTGAATCTACTTGTAGTCTTGGGGTTTTGTTTACTGTGTGGGGTGGCTAGGAAACAGACTTCAACTCTATATGAAGGAATGGACAGCTTTTGTGGGCCTCTGCAGGAAAAGTAAGATGACAGAGTAATTCTCATTCTGGTTTTGGTCCTACTTGCTTTGCTACCTAAAATCTCCTAGGAAACAATGCAAGGTTTTGGTTATTCTAATTTGTGGCCTGGATCCCTATTCTTTCTGTGAGACTAGAGGTCATCCTGAGGAGAGGCCAGCTGTTATGACAAGCACCTGTGCTTCAGGGAATAGGACAATTTTATTCCATTGTTTCTAGAGGATGTCATATGATGCCCAGCGCTGTTGAGAAGATTAAGATTTTCATGGGGTTCTATAAGGAGGCATGCCCTGATATCAAACATTCCATAGGCTGATGTCGCTCAGAAGACAACGGGAGTCACATGTGAACTCTGGGTACTGTAGCAAGCTAGTTGGAATGTGCCTCTTGTAAAAGTACATTTACAAATCTTCCCGTGACTGTGGCTTTGAGCAGTCATAGGACCTAGAAATCTCTGTATGTCCAATAGCTTAGGTTATTGTCAGCAAAAATGAAGGGTGTTTTTTTTGTTGTTGTTTTTTAATTGTTGGCTTTCTAGGTTGTTCACCTCAAGTTCATTGCTGTAGAGGTAGAAAAAGGAGGATAAAGATAATAGAAGTCCTATAGGCCAGGGATGTATTGATAGCTCTTGTGATTTCCACCAGTGTTGCTGTTGTCTCAAATTGCCGCAGCCTTCATTGCTTGCCAATATTTCCTGCATGGAGGGACGCATGGTTGCCCTTCCCCAGGCCTGAAGAGAGAGTGCGGTCAACATGAGATTGCAAGGCATTCTGGTTTTTGAAAGGTGGGAGATCAGATACTTTACTTTGAAACATGTTTTACGAACTTTCTTGATGTATAAGTGACGTGCCATAGTTTACATCCATTTATGGTGTATAATTTGAAGAGTTTGTCATATAAGCCTGTGAAACCATCATAATCATGATCATGAACATATTCGTGATTCACCTTTTGTTGTTTTACAATCTCTGCGTGCACTTTCCAGGCCTTCAGGAGTCCCGTCATTTACTTTCCCTACAGGAGAATAGTTTGTGTTTTCTAGGATTTTATGTGAATTGAATCATAAAATACTACATTTTTCCTGATGATGCACTATATATATATATATATATATTTTTTTTTTTTTTTTTTTTTTTTTTTGGGTAGGTGTCACCAGCAGACAAGGTCCTCCTGAACACTATGTGGTGAGTTTTAGGAATTGGAAGGCTACTCAAGGATATCCTGAGGCTGTCGGTGAGTAAATGGTTTGAAGACAATGCCATTCCCTGTCCTCCATCCCATCCTTGTGTACTTTATTTGGTGAGCCTCCTCATTCTGTGATTTTAGAGATCCAGTATTGCAAAGCAACCCCTTCCCTCAACCTGCCCTCAGCTCCATTATCCTCAAAACAAAGTGGTGAATCATTCCTTGGTATGTGTGTAACGGGGTTTGTTTCAGCACAGTGAATGTACATTTCATCAGCAGTTCTCTGCCTTCAGGTTGTGGCCATGGAATGAGGACGAAGAGACACCTTCTGAGCAGAATGTTTCTGGAAGAGTGTCACAGTCAACGGCAGGTTCATCCACACAGAAGACTCAATCCTGTGAGATGTGTGTGTCCCAGTCCTAAGGTATTTTTATGCCTGGCTGATCTCCCTGGGCAGAAACCATACTTGGCTGGAGAATGTACAAACCATCACCAGCAGCAGAAGAATCACAGGCAAAGAAATCCTTGAAGAGGACATGGACAGAGCTCATATGTGAAGTTACCAAGCCTATTCGGGGTATGTCATTGAAGCCTTTCGCAAATGGGAGGTTGAAAGGACCTCCCAGCCATGTTGGGGCTTCTGAGGTCCCTGGTCTTTCCTGGAGGCAAGAAACCCAACACAGTTACTGAATGTGGGAGTGACGTTTGCAGTCAAAAAGTCATTACAAATCAGGTGAATGGGAAGGCTTCCAGGCACAAACATTCCTGTTCATCCAAGAGTCTACACTGGAAAAAAAGCTTTATGAGTGTAGCAAATGGGAAAGCCTTCCGGGGCAAGTACTCACTTGTTCAGCACCAGAGAGTCCATACTGAGAAAGGCCTTCAGAGTGCAGTGAATGTGGAAAATTCTTTTTAGCCAGACTTCCCACCTGAATGACCATCGGAGAATCCATACTGAGAAAGGCTCATGAGTGCAGCGAATGTGGAAAATTATTTAGACAAAACTCCAGCCTTGTTGACCACCAGAAAATACACACTGAGCAAGGCTCATGAGTGCAGCCAGTGTGGGAAATCCTTTAGCCAAAAAAGCCACCCTTTGTTAAACACCAAAGAGTTCACACTGGAGAAAGGCTCATAAGTGTGGTGAATGGGAATTCCCTTTAGTCAAAGTGCCATTCTTAATCACACCAAGAATTCACACTGAGCAAGCCTATGAGTGTGGCCAGTGGGAAATCCTTTAGTCAAAAAGCTACCCTCATTAAACACCAGAGAGTTCACACTGGAGAAAGGCCTTATAAATGTGGAGAATGTGGGAAATCCTTTAGTCAAAGCTCCATCCTTATTCAACACCGGAGAATTCATACTGGAGCAAGGCCTTATGAGTGTGGCCAGTGTGGAAAGTCCTTTAGCCAAAAGTCAGGCCTCATTCAACACCAAGTGGTTCACACTGGAGAAAGGCCTTATGAGTGCGACAAATGTGGGAATTCCTTTAGCCAATGCTCCAGCCTCATACATCACCAAAAATGCCATAACACATAGAGGCCTCATGAATGCAGCAAATGTGGAAGCGCCTTCAACTCAAGATCTATCATCATTTAGCTCCTGAAAGTCCACACTTAAGCAGAGCCTTAGGACCTTACAGGGGAATGTGCTGTCTCTGTAGTACTGTAGCAGTAGAGGGCCTTTGTGAGGGAGCCATCTGCCTAAAGTTGAACCTCATTCTTCCTTGTTTCTCTGGTAGAAATCCATCCCGCCTCTCTGCCACCTTGCACAGTGGGCATCGGTCACACTGGATGCTAAGGCAAGGCAGGCATTTGTGTGTTCTCTCTTAGTCTTTGGAGGAAACCTTGAGCAATCTAAGCCTTAGACAGAGTACCATTCTTTTTTTTTCTGACTGATCAAGTTGCAGCATACATGTGACCCAGTTAATCAGAGGGCCCAGCCTTGGTCTCTGCTGACGCTATGTGCAAGGATTCCCTTTATGTAAATTCTGTCTCAATATGACACCTGGTCGTTATTTTCTAGCCTCCAAGTCACCTGGTGAATGGCTGCCTCACATTGCTCCAGTTTGTGCACTAATAAAAGCCTTATATTTGAATCTACTTGTAGTCTTGGGGTTTTGTTTACTGTGTGGGTGGTTAGGAACAGACTTCAACTCTATATGAAGGAATGGACAGCTTTTGTGGGCCTCTGCAGGAAAAGTAAGATGACAGAGTAATTCTCATTCTGGTTTTGGTCCTACTTGCTTTGCTACCTAAAAATCTCCTAGAAACAATGCAAGGTTTTGGTTATTCTAATTTGTGCGGCCTGGATCCCTATTCTTCTGTGACTAGAGGTCAGTATCCTGAGGAGAGGCCAGCTGTTATGACAAGCACCTGTGCTTTCAGAAGGACAATTTTATTCCATTGCTTTTAGAGGATGTCATATGATGCCCAGCGCTGTTGAGAAGCATTTCTCAAGATTTTCAAGGGTTCTATAAGGAGGCATGCCCTCTGGATATCAAATATCTCCATAGGCTGGGATGTCGCTCAGAAGACAAACGGGAGCCATGTGAACTTGGGTACTGTAGCAAGCTAGTTGGAATGTGCCTCTTTGTAAAAGTACATATTTACAAATCTTCCCGTGACTGTGGCTTTGAGCAGTCATAGGACCTAGAAATCTCTGTATGTCCAATAGCTTAGGTTATTGTCAGCAAAAGGAAGGGTGTTTTTTTTTGTTGTTGTTTTTAATTGTTGGCTTTCTAGGTTGTTCACCTCTCAAGTTCATTGCTGTAGAGGTAGAAAAGGAGGATAAAGATAATAGAAGTCCTATAGGCCAGGGATGTATTGATAGCTTCATGACGACCAGTGTTGTTGTTGTCTCAAATTGCCTGAGCCTTCATTGCTTGCCAATATTTCCTGCATGGAGGGACGACGGTTGCCCTTCCCCCAGGCCTGAAGAGAGAGTGCGGTCAACATGAGATTGCAAGGCATTCTTATTTTGAAAGGTGGGAGATCAGATACTTTATGCATTTGAAACATGTTTTACGAACTTTCTTTGATGTATAAGTGACGTACAGCAGTTTACATCCATTTATGGTGTATAATTTGAAGAGTTTGTCATATAAGCTCGTGAAAACCATCATAATCATGATCATGAACATATTCGTGATTCACCTTTTGTTGTTTTACAATCTGCACTTTCCAGGCCTTCAGGAGTCCCGTCATTTACTTTCCCTATGAGAATAGTTTGTGCTTTCAGATTTTATGAATGGAATCACAAATACCATTTTCCTGATGACAATCATATACATATATATATACATATACATATTATTTGAGACAGAGTCTCAACTGTCACCAAAGGGGAACTGAAAAACATCTGGGCCACTCCAACCTCTGTCTGCAGTTCCAAACATTCTCCGTCTCAGCTCCTAATGACCCCCAAACAATCAAACGTACTTAAAGAAATCTAACATCATCCTAACTTCAACCCTCAACCTTATCCTTTTTTCCCACCCACCAACAACCCCAACTTTTTTTTTTTTTTTTTTTTTTTTTTTGAGATGGAGTCTCACTCCGTCACCAGGCTGGAATGCAGTGGCACGATCTTGGCTCACTCCAACCTCTGCCTCCTAGGTTCCAGCGATTCTCCTGCCTCAGCCTCCTGAGAAGCTGGGACTACAGGCACGCGCCACCATGCCCAACTAATTTTTGTATTTTTAGTAGAAATGTGGTTTCACCATGTTGGCCAGGATGGTCTCGATCTTTTGACCTTGTGATCCGCCAACCTCGGCCTCCCAAAGTGCTGGGATTACAGGCATGAGCCACTGCGCCAGCCAATGCACAATTATTTTTAAGATTTACCAGTATTAGGCCAGGCGCGGTGGCTCAAGCCTGTAATCCCAGCACTTTGGGAGGCCGAGACAGGCAGATCACGAGGTCAGGAGATCGAGACCATCCTGGCTAACATGGTGAAACCCCGTCTCTACTAAAAAATACAAAAAACTAACCGGGCGAGGTGGCGGGCGCCTGTAGTCCCAGCTACTTGGGAGGTTGAGGCAGGAGAATGGTGTAAACCCGGGAGGCGGAGCTTGCAGTGAGCTGAGATCCGGCCACTGCACTCCAGCCTGGGCGACAGAGCGAGACTCCTTCTCAAAAAAAAAAAAAAAAGATTTACCAGTATTGCTTATGTGAATAGTTCATTTGTATTGCTGAGAAATATTCTGTGGCTATGTCACAATTTGGATAAACAGTTGGATGCTTTCCAGTTTTGGGCTGTTGCAAATAATGCTACTATGAACATAGGCATATAACACTTAGTATGCAGAACTGCTTTATTTCTCCTGTGTCAGCAGTACAGTGTATGTGAATGCTTCACTTTTAAAGACACGACCAGACTATAACCTGACTCTACCATCTGCATTCCCATCAACAGTATGTGAAGCTTCCCATTTCTCTACATTCTTGCCATACTTGGTATGGTTAGTCTTTTTAATTTTAGTTGTTTTAATAGCTGTATAATAGCATCTCTCTGTGATTTTATTGCTTTTTTCTGGTATTTTATGG